ATTGCTTGTATCAATATCCAGTGTAATTCATTCTCCTAATACAGGTCATTCCCAATTGTTAACATTTTTTCATTCAGACTCTTCCATTTGTGTTAGAACATACTATTCATCATCTTTCTATATTCCTATCTTTTGTATTTCCTATTTTCTCTGCCTTTGTTTCTGGTTTCTTCCTTTTACCCTGTTTCATCTCTGCTTCTTTGTCTACTCTCTCACCAATGCCTTCCATTATCAGAAGATATTTTTGTTTATTAAACAGTGCAGAAAAAAATACTTTGAAAAAATGATGTACCATCTTCAGTAAATCTACAGAAATATTCTACCGGTTAGCTGACTATTGTTTTCACCTTGCTATGCCTATAAAATGAATAGTCAGCACTATATGTTACAGATCAATAAAGCTAGAGAGCTGGATTTTTTTCTGTACCAATTTCTGAGCAGCAAAGTAAAGTAAGAAAGGAAGAATTTTCAGATTGCCATCATTTCAGGGCCATTTAAGAACATTTTTTGGTCATTTTTTAGTCCCAATTTCCAGACAGTCTTGGGTCTTAGCACTTAATCATTGAAAATGCTTCATTTCACAAAGAAAAGCTCAGTGAAGATAAAGTATATAAGAGGTACTTACATCAAAGAAATAAATTCTGAGGTATTCAACTTTCCCTGTATATTTACAGCTATGGGCTGGAGTAATGTGAGGGGGCCTGAGGAAAAGTTATGTGTCACATATCAAATTCCAGATTTATAGCTTTGCAGGTTGAAGCATATCAAGCTGTCAGGATGATAATTTTGGTTCTATGATTTTTGGACTAGCCCATGATGGCTTCAACAAGAGTTAACTAAGATTGGTCAATTCCATCCCTGGACTCAGAATTGCTCTACTCTTTTACCAGGTTCCTCCTGCAAAGACTGTTTCTGCTACACAGTTTGAGTTATTTTACTCTGAAGCTTTACACTGGCTGAGAGACTCCCCCTACTTGGGAGACTTCTCAGCTGGCCACTTACAGCCACAATCCGGCTTCTTGAGCTCAAACTAATATCTCTCAGGGCCTTTAGAGATTAAAAATTTATTTTCAAGAAACTATCCTGATATTCTGCGTTTTCTTTTTTAGAACAACAACATTCAAGAGATGCATGAAGATACTTTCTGCAAAATGAAAGATTTTAATTATGTCCGTAGGGCCCTTGAAGACGTCAGACTGGATGGTAATCCCATTAACTTGAGCAAAACACCTTATGCATACATGTGTCTACCCCGTTTGCCAGTTGGTAACCTCATCTAAGTTTTGGCAGAATCCAATACTGCCATATGCCATGAGAATCTTTAAAGACAAATGCTTAAGTCATTGCTGCATTAAGCAAGATGCATGTTTTTTTCACATCTCATTAATTTGGGAAATATTTATATTAATAATGAAATTGATTAATCAGATACAAAGAATAATATGCTAAAAGACAAACCCATTAGCTACCCAAATATAAGTTGCAGAGTAATTCAATATGAAGAAAAATATATTACTACCACAACTGCTCTGAAGGTAATAGAAGATCAGTGAAAATCCATAATTTTATGATTAATCAGTTGATTTAATTCAGGAATTCTAAAGTTAAATAATTTTATGTGTTAAAACTTAATTATAATACAGTGAATAAATAAATAAATAAAATATATAATTCAACATCTATTCTCTTTTCATTTAATTAAATATTTTACTCTCTGAGACAGGCGTATTTTTCTACTTCTTGCCTAAAATATCCATTTGTTTTGGAAAAGTAATAACAGTATTTGAAAAAGCATGTTTTCTTTAGAAAACATGGAATCTTTGTTTGACTCAAAAAAAGATGTAAAGATTAAACTTGTATCAGTTAAATAAATAAAGTACATATAAAGTATTTATCAATGCTTTTGCATTGGTCTTCATAACATTGATGAGACCCAAAGCTGTTTTCTTTATCTTTGATAACCTAGCCCACTATTTTACTTGGCTAATAAATATCTCATGTCAAATTATCTATTTGAGAAATACTGAACTTTATTCTGCACAGGAAAAACTCCCCTTGAGATATTTCCACAATCACATAAAATACTCTAGTTCAATATATTAAGGACTAGTGTCCAGAGACCCAGGTCACAATGAAAACAAATATCCTTGAGGAGTCATGGCTAGGTCTTCAATTATTTGTAACTGTTTCACTGACCTTTTCTGCTTTGCTTATCAGTTAAAGTGTAGGAAGTTCTCTCTAACTAGTTTGAACAATTCTCCCTCTTTTGTGGGGAGCTTTAATACATTTTTATAGGGAAACAATTGAAAGAAATGACCCACTGGATAAAATGGAGCTATTTATTAATTCCACCCTACAATTAAGAGAAGGAAATAACACCTGCACATCTTTGGTGACAGAAGGTTTGACAAAAGACTTCATCCAAGCAGAACCCCATAAAACATAAAAAACCTCCACCTACGCAAACCAACATTTGTTTAGTATGAATATTCATCTTCATCTAGATAAGCATAGGCACTCATTTGAAACTCAAGTGCAGCTGATGTGCTAAATTTCTGCTGGGCGAGTCAATGGAAACTCTGTGCACAGAGATTGCATTCTTCACCCTCATCCTCCGCTTTCTAGAAGAGCACACACTGGGAACATGAACAGTAAGTTTGTATGCAACAAATTCAGACAGATTGAAATTAGACTTGAAGAAGTACGGCAGGCTACATTGAGAGCACAGCCAACAGAGGCAGTGAACAGACGCAGCAGTTTGCGCAGCAGTGTCTGGGCTCTGCCTGGGCCTTTTGTGGGCCTTGTTGGAAGTTGTGGAGACTTTCTGGGGACCCCCGAGGAACTAGACGGTGCTTGCTGCTAGCAGGAAGGGAGAGCTGGGCAAGGACTCCTGCAGGGGACCTTGACTTAACTTCTCCTGGGAAGTTCTAGCTAGGTGGGGCTGCTGCTAACGAGCTCTCTGGGCTGCCCTGGTCAGAGGGAGTTGGGGCTTTTGTTTCAGGTGGCTCCTGATTGGGTGGGTCAAGCACCCTTGTGAGTCACTGCTAGGCAGAGGCCTATATAAGAGCCAGGCCTAGAGCGCAGCTCCCAGAGCGCAGCCAACAGAGGCAGCGAACAGACGCAGCAGTTTGCGCAGCAGTGTCTGGGCTCTGCCTGGGCCTTTTGTGGGCCTTGTTGGAAGTTGTGGAGACTTTCTGGGGACCCCCGAGGAACTAGACGGTGCTTGCTGCTAGCAGGAAGGGAGAGCTGGGCAAGGACTCCTGCAGGGGACCTTGACTTAACTTCTCCTGGGAAGTTCTAGCTAGGTGGGGCTGCTGCTAACGAGCTCTCTGGGCTGCCCTGGTCAGAGGGAGTTGGGGCTTTTGTTTCAGGTGGCTCCTGATTGGGTGGGTCAAGCACCCTTGTGAGTCACTGCTAGGCAGAGGCCTATATAAGAGCCAGGCCTAGAGCGCAGCTCCCAGAGCGCAGCCAACAGAGGCAGCGAACAGACGCAGCAGTTTGCGCAGCAGTGTCTGGGCTCTGCCTGGGCCTTTTGTGGGCCTTGTTGGAAGTTGTGGAGACTTTCTGGGGACCCCCGAGGAACTAGACGGTGCTTGCTGCTAGCAGGAAGGGAGAGCTGGGCAAGGACTCCTGCAGGGGACCTTGACTTAACTTCTCCTGGGAAGTTCTAGCTAGGTGGGGCTGCTGCTAACGAGCTCTCTGGGCTGCCCTGGTCAGAGGGAGTTGGGGCTTTTGTTTCAGGTGGCTCCTGATTGGGTGGGTCAAGCACCCTTGTGAGTCACTGCTAGGCAGAGGCCTATATAAGAGCCAGGCCTAGAGCGCAGCTCCCAGAGCGCAGCCAACAGAGGCAGCGAACAGACGCAGCAGTTTGCGCAGCAGTGTCTGGGCTCTGCCTGGGCCTTTTGTGGGCCTTGTTGGAAGTTGTGGAGACTTTCTGGGGACCCCCGAGGAACTAGACGGTGCTTGCTGCTAGCAGGAAGGGAGAGCTGGGCAAGGACTCCTGCAGGGGACCTTGACTTAACTTCTCCTGGGAAGTTCTAGCTAGGTGGGGCTGCTGCTAACGAGCTCTCTGGGCTGCCCTGGTCAGAGGGAGTTGGGGCTTTTGTTTCAGGTGGCTCCTGATTGGGTGGGTCAAGCACCCTTGTGAGTCACTGCTAGGCAGAGGCCTATATAAGAGCCAGGCCTAGAGCGCAGCTCCCAGAGCGCAGCCAACAGAGGCAGCGAACAGACGCAGCAGTTTGCGCAGCAGTGTCTGGGCTCTGCCTGGGCCTTTTGTGGGCCTTGTTGGAAGTTGTGGAGACTTTCTGGGGACCCCCGAGGAACTAGACGGTGCTTGCTGCTAGCAGGAAGGGAGAGCTGGGCAAGGACTCCTGCAGGGGACCTTGACTTAACTTCTCCTGGGAAGTTCTAGCTAGGTGGGGCTGCTGCTAACGAGCTCTCTGGGCTGCCCTGGTCAGAGGGAGTTGGGGCTTTTGTTTCAGGTGGCTCCTGATTGGGTGGGTCAAGCACCCTTGTGAGTCACTGCTAGGCAGAGGCCTATATAAGAGCCAGGCCTAGAGCGCAGCTCCCAGAGCGCAGCCAACAGAGGCAGCGAACAGACGCAGCAGTTTGCGCAGCAGTGTCTGGGCTCTGCCTGGGCCTTTTGTGGGCCTTGTTGGAAGTTGTGGAGACTTTCTGGGGACCCCCGAGGAACTAGACGGTGCTTGCTGCTAGCAGGAAGGGAGAGCTGGGCAAGGACTCCTGCAGGGGACCTTGACTTAACTTCTCCTGGGAAGTTCTAGCTAGGTGGGGCTGCTGCTAACGAGCTCTCTGGGCTGCCCTGGTCAGAGGGAGTTGGGGCTTTTGTTTCAGGTGGCTCCTGATTGGGTGGGTCAAGCACCCTTGTGAGTCACTGCTAGGCAGAGGCCTATATAAGAGCCAGGCCTAGAGCGCAGCTCCCAGAGCGCAGCCAACAGAGGCAGCGAACAGACGCAGCAGTTTGCGCAGCAGTGTCTGGGCTCTGCCTGGGCCTTTTGTGGGCCTTGTTGGAAGTTGTGGAGACTTTCTGGGGACCCCCGAGGAACTAGACGGTGCTTGCTGCTAGCAGGAAGGGAGAGCTGGGCAAGGACTCCTGCAGGGGACCTTGACTTAACTTCTCCTGGGAAGTTCTAGCTAGGTGGGGCTGCTGCTAACGAGCTCTCTGGGCTGCCCTGGTCAGAGGGAGTTGGGGCTTTTGTTTCAGGTGGCTCCTGATTGGGTGGGTCAAGCACCCTTGTGAGTCACTGCTAGGCAGAGGCCTATATAAGAGCCAGGCCTAGAGCGCAGCTCCCAGAGCGCAGCCAACAGAGGCAGCGAACAGACGCAGCAGTTTGCGCAGCAGTGTCTGGGCTCTGCCTGGGCCTTTTGTGGGCCTTGTTGGAAGTTGTGGAGACTTTCTGGGGACCCCCGAGGAACTAGACGGTGCTTGCTGCTAGCAGGAAGGGAGAGCTGGGCAAGGACTCCTGCAGGGGACCTTGACTTAACTTCTCCTGGGAAGTTCTAGCTAGGTGGGGCTGCTGCTAACGAGCTCTCTGGGCTGCCCTGGTCAGAGGGAGTTGGGGCTTTTGTTTCAGGTGGCTCCTGATTGGGTGGGTCAAGCACCCTTGTGAGTCACTGCTAGGCAGAGGCCTATATAAGAGCCAGGCCTAGAGCGCAGCTCCCAGAGCGCAGCCAACAGAGGCAGCGAACAGACGCAGCAGTTTGCGCAGCAGTGTCTGGGCTCTGCCTGGGCCTTTTGTGGGCCTTGTTGGAAGTTGTGGAGACTTTCTGGGGACCCCCGAGGAACTAGACGGTGCTTGCTGCTAGCAGGAAGGGAGAGCTGGGCAAGGACTCCTGCAGGGGACCTTGACTTAACTTCTCCTGGGAAGTTCTAGCTAGGTGGGGCTGCTGCTAACGAGCTCTCTGGGCTGCCCTGGTCAGAGGGAGTTGGGGCTTTTGTTTCAGGTGGCTCCTGATTGGGTGGGTCAAGCACCCTTGTGAGTCACTGCTAGGCAGAGGCCTATATAAGAGCCAGGCCTAGAGCGCAGCTCCCAGAGCGCAGCCAACAGAGGCAGCGAACAGACGCAGCAGTTTGCGCAGCAGTGTCTGGGCTCTGCCTGGGCCTTTTGTGGGCCTTGTTGGAAGTTGTGGAGACTTTCTGGGGACCCCCGAGGAACTAGACGGTGCTTGCTGCTAGCAGGAAGGGAGAGCTGGGCAAGGACTCCTGCAGGGGACCTTGACTTAACTTCTCAACAAGTTAAACATGAGGCAGCAGTGTGCCCTT